TTCCTTCAAAATTTCGAATGACATGCTCACGTGAGGAGTAAAGAATGCGGATGCCTGGGTAGAGCTTGCCAGCAAGGATGAGGTTTAGAATAAGCTTGGGATCTGCTTTCTCCGTATGATTGCATTCACCATGTGGGATTCCAAGACTTTCGGGGAAAGAATATTGATCAGCTCCATCAAGAACGAGAAGAAACCTTTCAGGATATTCCCTGATCCATCCAACACCCATGTCAATGACATCATCATTCAAATCCGTTTTCCCAAATAGGAAATTTTTTGGGCTAATTCTTCTATGAACCTCAAGATCTCGGAAGTCCATGCGACGAACAACCTCAACCTTTCTAAGCTCTGGTATCTTACCATCAAGCACATTAACGGGGTATGTTTTTGTCATTTCAGTTTTACCATATCCAGCTCCTCCTATCAGAGCAACTCTTGATTTTCCATCTGAGAAAAAGTTCTCCATGGATATTGGGTTGCCAGGTTGCTTCTGAGTTTGCTGACTGAAACCCACTTCTGGTTTGTACTCGGATTTTTTTACTGTGGTTCGGTAATAGTCAACTTCTACTGTTTTGGGATTGGTTTTGTAATCGGGGGTTTTGAGATACTTCTTTTCGATGGGCTTTGCACTTCTCCTAGTTAAATCGTTGATGGCATCCTTGAATTCTTGAACTTTTTCTGTGACATGAAACAAAAAATATTCTGGCATTAGCACAACATGTATACTCTTGTTTTGTTTCATTGATAGTGCATAGCATTTTCAGAAGGGAATTACAAAGTATTTATGGAAATAATTTGGTCTCAATAGCCCACCACACACTTTTATTTGAAAGTTGGATTTTAAAAAAGAGATTTCATACGATTCATCACAGCCTATTTGCAATTGGCACAGCTTTCTGAAGAGACTTTTATAAAAATAATTTATAGGAAATGCGTTTATAGGATCTTGATGGAAACAGGATAGCTTTGTTAGAAAAATAACAAACATAAGGAAAGACATATATTCTTTTCAAAAGAGCACGATAAGCCAATTTTTTATGGGAACTGAAAAAATCCAAAATCCAAATTCGTAATTTCAAACATTCAAGGAAAGATTGATTTGGCAACACAAATGCGTGCCCACAACATTTATCACTAAAATAAAACTCAACTGGTATGATTTAGAAATTTATGTAACTAATCGCAGTACTAACCAAAATTCTAAGAATTGATCGTCTATTATACAACGATACAGCTCAGTGATGCTACTGCACCATATGGATTTCTAGAAATGAGAGCTCCCCCCCCCCCCTTGGGTCTAGTTATATCAACTGACCTGTATAACTCCCCCCTCCTACAGCTGCTTCCTGCTTACTTGATGTATTGGTTGGTTGAGTGTCAGAGCGTCTATGGCGATCAGGAGTGTAATGGTGATGGATGTTTGTTGTATTTACTGAAACAATATAAATACGGGTTTAGTTAACAATTATGGCTTTACTTTATCATGTAAAATATTAATCTCGAAAAAGCCTTTGAGTTGAAGTATAATGATAATGTTATGGGACGAAATATAGGATGCTTCAAGGAGTTAACAATGCACCAACTATAAATAGGATAGAATCATATTCTAAATTCCCTGAATATAACTGGAACGGAAAATTTATTTACTTGTTAATTTTTATTCTCATCAAATCTGCAATTATTGGAGTTAACTACTTTTGCTTTTATATTTCATAGAAACGACGAAACAGGTTACTTGGTCTGATATGTCTGATTTATTTATGTTTTATTGGGTGGAAGACATCTTTGTTATATTGGTTTTGAAATTAGTGATATATAGGTAAAGCAATCTGGAAAACTCAAAAAGTGAAAATCTGATTAGAACCAACTATGCAAAAATCTGAATAAATCAAATCGATTTGGCAAACTCCAACTGTATGTTCTTTCGAAATTTTATCTGAAAATTCTTATTTTTGCCAGGATATTGCTCTACCCATAATCATTGAAAACACTTGAACCCTCAAAATGGCGTGGTGATTTGAAACGATGGTTTGTTCTGCCTGTTTAGTACAGATTGCCTAGGATATTTGGGATTACAAAAACAAGTTACTCACAGATCTGTTGTGTTGAAATGTTTTGTTCTCCGAGGTGAGCTTGACCAATCTGGCTGCCTGCTACTGTAATTGAAAAAGTATAAAGATGAGTTGAAATTCCAAAATTAACGCAATTAGTTAGATTTAGCTTATGAAGGAGAATTTATGGTATATTCAGGTTTAGTATAGTTATATATCCTTGGGAAAATGGTTAGAGTAAGCATATGAAGTGGGATTCATGGTATGTTCTGGGTTGGGATAGATATAAAACCATAAGAAAATGGTTAGAGGAAGTATATGAAGTGGGATTCATGATATGTTCTGGGTTAGGATAGATATAAAACTTTGGGCAAATGGTTAGAGAGTAATTATATGAAGTGGGATTCATGGTATGTTCTGGGTTAGGATAGATATAAAACTTTGGGCAAATGGTTAGAGTAAGCATATGATGTGGGATTCATGATATGTTCTGGGTTAGTATAGATATAAAACTTTAGGAAAATGGTTAGAGTAAGCATATGATGTGGGATTCATGATATGTTCTGGGTTAGGATAGATATAAAACTTTAGGAAAATGGTTAGAGTAAGCATATGATGTGGGATTCATGATATGTTCTGGGTTAGGATAGATATAAAACTTTAGGAAAATGGTTAGAGTAAGCATATGATGTGGGATTCATGATATGTTCTGGGTTAGGATAGATATAAAACTTTAGGAAAATGGTTAGAGTAAGCATATGAAGTGGGATTCATGGTATGTTCTGTGTTAGTATAGATATAAAACTTTGGGCAAATGGTTAGAGTAAGCATATGAAGTGGGATTCATGGTATGTTCTGGGTTAGGATAGATATAAAACTTTGGGCAAATGGTTAGAGAGTAATTATATGAAGTGGGATTCATGGTATGTTCTGGGTTAGGATAGATATAAAAACTTTGGGGCAAATGGTTAGAGAGTATTTATATGAAGTGGGATTCATGTATGTTCTGGTTAAAGGATAGATTATAAAAACTTTGGGCAAATGGTTAGAGAGTAATTATATGAAGTGGGATTCATGGTATGTTCTGGGTTAGGATAGATATAAAACTTTGGGCAAATGGTTAGAGAGTAATTATATGAAGTGGGATTCATGGTATGTTCTGTGTTAGTATCAGATAATAAAACTTTGGGCACAATGGTTAGAGTTAAGTATATGAAGTAGGATTCATGGTATGTTTCTGTGTTAGTATAGATTATAAAACTTTGGGCAATGGTTAGAGTTAAGTAAATGAAAGTAGGATTCATGGTATGTTCCTGTGTTAGTATAGCATAATTAAAACTTTGGAGCAAATGGTTAGAGAGTAATTATATGAAAGTGGGATACAATGGTATGTTGCCTTGGGTAGGATAGATATAAAACTTTGGGCAAAGTGGTTAGAGAGTAAATTATTGAAGTTGGGATTCATGGTACTCGTTCTGTGTTAGTATAGATATAAACTTTGGGCAAATGGTTAGACGTAAGTATAATGAAAGTAGGAATTTCATGGTAATGTTCTGTGTTAGTATATGGATATAAAACTTTGGGCAAATGGTTAGAGTAAGTATATGAAGTAGATTCATGGTTATGTTCTGTGTTAGGATGATATAAAACTTTGGGCAAATGGTTAGAGTAAGTATATGAAGTAGGATTCATGGTATGTTCTGGGTTAGGATAGATATAAAACTTTGGGCAAATGGTTAGAGTAAGTATATGAAGTAGGATTCATGGTATGTTCTGGGTTAGGATAGATATAAAACTTTGGGCAAATGGTTAGAGTAAGTATATGAAGTAGGATTCATGGTATGTTCTGTGTTAGGATAGATATAAAACTTTGGGCAAATGGTTAGAGTAAGTATATGAAGTAGGATTCATGGTATGTTCTGGTTAGGATAGATATAAAACTTTGGGCAAATGGTTAGAGTAAGTATATGAAGTAGGATTCATGGTATGTTCTGGGTTAGGATAGATATAAAACTTGTGGGCAAATGGTTTAGAGTAAGTATATGAAGTAGATTCATGGTATGTTCTGGGTTAGGATAGATATAAAAACTTTGGGCAAATGGTTAGAGGAAGGTATATGAAGCTAGGGATTCATGGTATGGTTCTGATTAGGGATAGATATAAAACTTGGGGCAAATGGTTAAGAGGAAGCATATGAAGTGGGATTTCCGTGGTAAAAGTTATTAGGCCCAACTGCCTTTGTTCTGCAATAAAAGTGCAGGAAACCACCGAATGATAAAGGTATAATACTCGAACTGTAATGCTTAGGGAAACACCAATGCAAAACTGATGATAATAATTACCAGCTCAGCGTATGTCCCTGATGTTCATGGGCGTCAGGAGGGTGTCATACTTCCAGAGCACTTGGCAGCTATAAAAGGAAAAAAATTTTCATTAATTAATAACCAGTAACCTTTGGGTTAGAATAAATATTTCAGCAGTTATCTCACATAACTTGAACTTGTCTAAATGACCTAGTCCTAGAGACTTGACTTAGAGAAAACTTTAATGATTCCTCGATTAAGAGAAAATTTCGATGAAACACGATTTACTATGTTAAATGATATTTTTCGATTTTACAAATAGAGTTGTTTTTTTCTAAAGTTTTCAATGAGACTCATATATACACATTTCTTTGTTGTTCATGACTCAGACTCACTAGTGACTGAAATTGACTTCAGATTTAATGATCAGGATTTCGTCATACTAAAGGAATGACTCACTCGGCTTGATTCAAGACTAAGATTTGAACTTTGTATTCAGAACATGGTATGTAAGACAACACTATATATGGATACTATGTATGTAAGATAAATTCACATATAATCGATGTTTTCAAATATTTCATTTTTGGCTAATTTTACTTTAGGTTCCTCAATGATTCAGTCCTATTACTATGCAAAAAATTACCTTCTCCTCCATGTGCCCCTCGTGGATCCATAAGGGGTTCAGATGATCGAGAACCAAATGGAGATGCACCAAGTTGAGGTGATGGAACACTGGACACTCTTTTCGGTTCTTCACATCGTGCAACTGAACAAAATTTGAGAATGCAACATTATAATAATTGTCTCATTGTTTTTATCATATCTTTCTAATTTTTTAATATTATTCAACATTGCCTTTACTCTAATATATTGGAACCATATATGTGCGCCTTATGTATGAACAAAACCTTAATCTAAGCACTTTATTTAGTGTAAGCTTTATAACTCGGTGTCCCCTATGGTTCTTGAAATACGATACTCAATTCTACCTTCACCTCCAGGTGGCCCTTCTGGCTTTGGAAGTTGATCAGCTGATTGAAATAGAGATGAACTGAGTGGAACATTAGACACTCTCTCCTCTTCCACAGATTACGCGAGTGTTGTTGGATGAGGAGAATCTGTTCAGAAATAATGTTTAAACTACATAGCAATATTTCAAGGTTACCCATGTTTCCATATATGTTATACACAATCAAGGGTTATCCTAGAGGAGGGTGCTTCCTTATACAAGTTAGTTTGTGTTTGTTGTTAATTATTAATGAAAACCTTTCCATTTACTTGACATTCAGTTAATTTATCTTCGTGTATAACATAACTTGTTTAGCCCCCAAATTATATTTGAAGTGTGGTATCAGAGGTATCATTATGAGAAACACGCCTCGGGCAGCAGGAAAGTTTGGCACGACCACAATATGTTAACTAGAAACATTTAAAGAACTCAATAAGTGCACGTCCGCAGAGCAATTTTGCCTATTTCTTCACAAGCTGTATACCAACGGCTGACATATAGTGTGGAATGATAGAATTGCATTCATACCCCACATTGCCCTGCATTGCTGCCTACAGATACACCTATGTCTAAAGTTATCAGTACCTTGGTCAGATTCATCATCTTTATTCAGGAAACCATCTACTAGTTGCCAGATTTTTTCAGTTGTTGCTGATTCACCTGCATAAAATGAATTTGAAATGAAAAAAAAAATGAAAAATTTCGAAAAAAAGTGGATTCGGCAAAATTGCTGAATAAATAAAATTTTGCATTGTGAGAATTTTTTATGGAACCCAACCATATGTCTGAAGTTGGGTATATGCTCCAACGACGAAAAATCTTGAATGAACAGTTTTAAATAGTAGACATTAGGTTAAACTATCATTACTCACCATTCTTGTATTTCCACTGAGTCAACATTTGTAGATTCCTTTCTTCAACAGATCTTGCATTGTCCTTTATGTTTTCGACCTCCAGCATACTGAGCGATAAACCTTTCCTAGACAATGCAAATCTTTTGAACTGCGCAGCGTTGGCAAATACTTTCGGAACTTCCAGAAAAGCATCTTCAATTCTGGGACCTGTTGGAAGGAAAACCAGAATAAATACAACCCCTATTCTCGCTACATTTGGATGTATTTAAATATAAGCCTCGTGCCCATCAACTATGAAGATTTCAGATACTAACCCCATGCCCACCACCTCTAGAAATCTCTGATACTAACCCCATGCCCACCACCTCTAGAAATCTCTGATACAAACCCCATGCCCACCTCTTCTAGAGATCTGGGACACAAACCCCATGCTCACCACCTCTCGACATCTCAGATATAAACCTCATGCCCACCACTATTTAAGATGTTGGATACAGAACCAATTTCTAATAACTCTTGGGATCTGACCCAAATGGAAAGTATTTTTAAAATCCCAGATTGAGTGCTTGTCTAGAACTTTGTATGACACAAAGTTGTGAAACAGATCATAAGTAAACTTACCGGTGACACCACTATTCTCTGCCTTGAGATGTTTCTCAACAACCTCTCTGATATATCTGGATGTTGCATTTGATCCTGAAATACAGAGAAATTAGGACCAATTTATGGGTAAATATTTCAATTTTATGGTGAAAATCCATCATCAGGTTCCTCAAATGAATCATGACTCCGACTTGACTATGGCTCTCAAGTCCTGATTGTGAAAGCTTCGACTTGGGCTACGATATTAAATAACGTTTTACATTCTTTTCAATTCCAGAAAATTGCGATCAATAGCTTGAGTTTCCCACTCCCCACTTTTAGAATCATGGAAGACGACTCTGAGGCTGTGGTGAGTAGTAACCATGTTTCCGATTTCAATGCCAGCGATACACGTAGACCTACAACTTCACAAGTTAATGAGGTTACTCAACGCTATGTAAAACTGGAATGGTGTGTTTCTCACATTTCGTTTCAAGCACAACCTTATACACGCAACTGATCAAAACTTTCCCACAAACCTACCCGTTTATGGAAAACAAACAAATACATACCGTTTTTTTCTTTCCAAAGTTGAAGCATCTCAAACTTTTGATCTTCAACAGAACTTGCATTATCTTCAATAATTGTTGAGATTTCATTGATACTGAGTGCAAGACCTGTCCCAGCTTGTGCAAACATTTTGAAATGTTTGAAAGTTGGAAATTTCTTCAAGATATCAGTGCAAGCGTCTTCAAATCTCTCATTGTCTCCTGAAATATTGATTAGACTTGCTTTACACAATTGCTATGAATTAAGCCTAGTATAAGTATGAACAGTCGTAAGCAGTGACTACACAATAAACATAAAATTGTTACCATAAATATTATCTTGTTTTATCACCACACCCATGCAAGTTCACCTTTCCCGTCTTATTATAAAGCTACTTTTCCAACTTCCAAAATACGTAACAAAACCTTTCTACATTAAATCTTACTAGATGGCACTAGAGAGTCATTATTTTATCCAATTGGTTACTAGTCATTTAATTACTGGTGAAAGGGTTAGGGTGACACAACATTAGTACACTGCTAAGCATTTCTAATTTGGAAAATTTACGAATTGCGTGAAAAAAAAAATCACAAATCTACTATGTTATAGCAACTTCTTCTCAAACATATATTTAACAACATTTCAATATTTTCAAATATTTGATTCATCTAGGCATTTCCTGACTGAATAATTATCAATTACTTTAATATTCAAACCCACCTTCACCTGCTGTTGCCTCTTGTGGCTCTGGATGTTGCTCTGCTGATTGAGGATCAAATGGAGATGCACCGAGCTTGGGTGGTGGAACATTGGACACTCTCTCCTCTTCCTCAGATTGTGCGAGTGAAGTTGCATCTGTATGGGAAGCTGGTTGATAAATATAACACTCTTAAAAAGGCCCAACACGAGTACCCACTAATATGTACCGGCAACACCTAAGATTCAGCGCATAAGGTAAAAGACATGGTATTTTGAATTGTTCAAATCATTGCTGTTAGAAAAAAATTCGAGGTTTAGGAATTCCAAAATGCAAGAATTTTTACATAACCTCATGATTATATAATCATAATCCTATTATATTATGCATTATAATAGATTGAATGACACCACCACAACAGAGATAACTCTGGTTGATTATCAGATGATGGACTATTATATAGATGGTGAATCAAAGCTTCAAATTCGAAGAGTTTGATGGGCGGTAAAGGCAGTAAAAATCTTTCAACAGCCAAAATAATTATACGTTACTGATATTCTCCATCTTAAGAGATCTTGGATACAAACCCCTTTATATTGTTAAATATTTGATTCATTTAGGCATTTCTTGTCTGACGCATCATCAATATCTTTAATATTCAAACCCACCTTCACCTGCTCTTGCTCCTTGTGGCTCTGGATGTTGCTCAGCTGATTGAGGATCAAATGGAGATGCACTGAGCTTGGGTGGTGGAACATTGGACACTCTCTCCTCTTCCTCAGATTGTGCGAGTGAAGTTGCATCTGTATAAGAAATAGGTTGATAAATATAACACGCTAAACATAGCCCTACCCAAGCACCCAATTATATGTAACCTGCAACACCTAGGGTACCGTACCGACATAACACTTGTAATTGTTTAAGTCAGTGCTATAAAGGAAAAAAGTGGGTTTAGGAATTCTAATCTAATCATATTCCTATTATATCATATTTTGCTAGGTTGGATGACACTAAGACAACAGAGATAACATTGGTTGATTATTATCAGATGTGAATGAACATAAGTATAGACAAGTGGTTTTTACACCACTTTCAACTTATTTCAAAGGATTTCCTCGAGCCTTTGCAATGTTTCATGATTGTGCTCCACCAAAAAGATTTAAAATCACCGGTATAGACTAATATTTCATTTTAGGGACAGACTGAATGATTTTTGTAGTTTTACATAAAAAATCTATTTCAAGAAGAATGAAGCCTAACACAAGATATAGTCTAGATCAGGAGTAGGCAACTATTTTGGGCTCGCGTGCCAAAATCGGCTAAATTTAACGACAAAATTTTTCAGCGTGCCGACCAATATTTTAACAATGCTTTGCTAATATCAAAGCAAAAAACTATTTAAACATGTAGAGACAGATCCACTATTGGGTAAAATATCAGTTTGGCAAATAGATTTGGAAAATTTTCTTATTATATATGAGACTTAGAAAGAAATACACAAACTACTGGGTTCATCTTTCGAGATAATCCTGTTACGAGACTTAATAAAGTTCCTAACCGAGAACAGTGATTGACAAGCATATGTAGATGAAAACATACATGAGTAATGCAGTTGCAAAGTTTTTAAGACACAAAACATTTTCGGCAATGGCATACCAATCAATTCGTTTTCTGCACTTCTCTCTTGTATTCCCTTCCCTAATCGCTTATTTCTTTTGAAATCAATATATAACAGTATGGTAGCAAGTAACTCTAACCAACATGAGCTATACTTCATAAATCAGGCAGAAATAAAGAAAAGGGGCGGCACAGTCAAACTATGTTACGTAAGAATGTAGCCAAATGAATGCTGCGCTCTTCTCGACAAAATTTTTTCATCGTATTTTCAAATCTCTTCTCCGAACAAGGAGTAAGATAAATAGTTTTATGAAATATAACTATGCTTTAGAAAAGACTGGAATTTTTTCTGCCAAGATTATTACATCATAGAAGACGTATGCAATTATTGGAACCCCATATCTTAAACTTGCGCCGCCAACAAAGTTTGATTCAACTCTCGAATCATAAAATCAGCTTCCACAACCAGCAATACCTTGATCAACTCCGGATTCTTTACTCTCAACTCTCTGTTCAACCGAACGTCCATTGTGATCACTGCCTGATGTGACGGGAATATCCGAGCCTGCAAAAACAAAAATATGGCTGCCATACTATGAAAACATTATCAAGCCCATTTCGATTTTCAAATACTGCATTTTTTGACAAGCTCCAAATATTTTAAAATTGCTCTCTTGTTTTAAACGAAATTATTTTCTAAATTAGATCTCAGAATGTCTGATATTGATACTTGTGGTTGAATGAGATGTAAAAGGAATTTGAAGGGATTCTATTAAATAAGACACGAGGACGAAAACACAAGTCTGCCTGGCTTGGAAATTGCATATTATTCATACTCAAGACACCCGTGCATATGACTCTATGCCCCACCCCTTCTATGACATGTTGTAACACCTTCATTTTTAACAAAGCCCTACCGAGCACCAGAGTACAGTAAGACATAGAAATTGTTCAAGTCATTACTGTTAAGGAAATGGGTTTAGGAGCTCCAATCTGATCATAATGTATTATATTGTACCAGGTTGGTTGGCAACAGATGTGAATGAACATAGGTATAGACAAGTGGTTTTTACACTACTTTCAAATTATTTCACAGGGGGTCCCTTTGGAATGTTTAATAAGGATTCTGCTCCACTAAAAGGGACTCATTCTTTGGATTTTGTTCATCTTATATTATTATCAAATATAAGATGAAATTCACACGTTAAAATCTGAATGGGTCGCCGGCCGTCATTTTTTCCCTACTTGACTGATCTCAGACACAATTCCTATGTCAGCCATCTTACCCTGGGTAGAATGTATTAGATATGGTAGAGCAGACATTGCCAAACCCGGAACATTCCGTTCCATTGCAATATAGAGGCTACTTGTTATTAGGGGGATGAAACCCACACTTGGAAATTTTGCTAATATATTTCGTTACCTCTACTTTTTGCCATCTCGCTTCTTTGTCTTGCAGGTGATGGGATACCACCCTTGCTGCTTTCCACTGCGCTCAATTCAGAAGATATTTTGCCTGAGATTTGAGAAGGATCTGTAACAAGCAAGCTCAGTTAATATTTATGTGACTGATCACAAAATACTTGCATAAAGAAACATGCGGTAAAATAAGCATTGCTTTTCACGTAGTAGACTAACTGAAACAAAAACTAGTCAACAATTCCCATACATAACATGAACTACTTGTTCGTCCTTGTTTGGAGTAAATGTATGAGAACAACTCATAAAGAATCATCTCATCTATTGTTCTTACGAGGCTTCATCGGCAATTGAAAACTACTTGAGGTTTGGTCTGCTCATGAGATGTTGCTGTTTCATTTTTAAGAGACAAACTGACAGAATGCCAGATTATCCTAATTACTCCATGGTGAGAAAAGCTTAACAGGTGGAGGTGGGGATAGGGTCATGATTGTGACCAATTCTGTGCCTAATATTAAGGGGGAAACCCCAACTTTAAATGGTGCTCATATCTTTCGTTACCTTTACTTTTCGCTACCACCGGTCTCTGCCTTCCAGGTGATGGGCTACCACATTTGCCTCTTTTCATCGAGCTTGGTTTGGAAGAACTTTTTGCTGAGATTTGGGAAGGATCTGTGACAAGTAAAGATGGGTAATATTAAAGTGAAGAAAAACTGGGGTTAAGAAACAATGGGTAGACAAAGTATCGCTTTCTAGCAGTCGAGTATCTGAAACAAATGCTAGTTAATACCTCCTATACATCAGGTGAACTCATAACTGGATAAGGATCCATGGCTTGACATATGCTTGAACCACCTTTTTAACTTTTTTCACCCCCGAGTTAAATTTAACAATGTTTTAATGCTATAATCTTTCCAACCATACTGCAGTTCTCTCTAGGCTTGTGTCACTATCAAATGAATCCAATTTTTCTAATAATTTTGTTCGCTCGCTAGAAGTCGCTGTTTTATTTTTAAGAGACAAGATGAATAACATATAATTTTTCATACGACAGGATCAGAATCCCACATCTATACCAGTGAGAATAAAGCCTGAAAGAAGAACATAATCCAAGTTCCTTTATTTTTATATTACCATTTCTTTCATTACCTTTACTTTTTGCCACCTCCTGTCTCTTTCTTGCTGGTGCTGGACTGCCACCCTTGCTGCTTTCTACTGCATTTGGTCCAGATGTACTTTTTTCTGAGATTGGAGAAGGATCTGTAACAAGAATATTTACATGTTGGATTATCATGTTACTGCTGACATGAAATCAAGGGAAATGAACAAAGGAAAAGTAGCAGTATTGCTTTACATATATTAGCACTTGACGAGAGCAATGTAACACATGATATTGCCATTGTACGGTGGTTCACAAAAACACGGGACACTGGATAATATTATGTGACTAATCAAGTAAAACTGAGGTGAATGAATGAGCGTAGGGTAGAAGAAATTTTGCTTTCCAAGAAGAATAGCATCTGAAACAAATACTAGTTAACATTCCCATACCCGACATGGACTCGTTACCGGACGAGAAGCCAAGGTCGACATTATGACAGTACTGCCTTATAAGATACCTTTTTTCTCCCCTGAGAAAAATTTGAAAATCACCAATCGTGTGAATAATTATCTGTAAGACGTGCGATGCCAAAACTAGATGTTGCGTGATGGTTGAAAACTTTTAAGGCATGGTAAACTAATAGAGCATTTGTAATGGAGAAATGTGTAGAAAAAAATATTTAGTAAGAAATACACTTAGATCAGGCAGGATTGGGGGAGATTAGACAGTTTGGGCAGAATTTTTCAACATTTTTCCGAATCTCTTCTTCGAACGAAGAGTTAGACAAATAGTTTTATGAGATATTACCATGCTCTTAGAGGACTAGAATTTCCCCCATCAAGATTATTATGTCATAGATGAATTTGAACCGGATATCCTTAACATGCATTGCTAACATAGTTTGATACAAAACTCAAATCATCAAGTCATTTTTCCAAATCCACAACCAGCATTACCTGGATCATCTCCAGTCTCTTTACTCTCAGCTCCCTGTTCAACCGAACGTCCACTCTGACCACTGCCTGATGTGTCGGGAATATCTGAGCCTGCAGCAACAGAAATATCACAATTTTAATCAAGCTTTTTCTTTTTCGTTGGGTTTCCCATATTAATCCATCTGCAGTTGATCGACGCCTCAAACGAAATGAAGTTACATTACAATGACAAAGTCGTCGGTAACTCAGCAACAGGCTCTGTCTGCTCAAAATACTGGAAAAGATCTCAGCGGCATATGTTTTTCAAAAGAAAAAACTCCAATAATTCTATTATATTGTGCCAGGTTAGATGGCACCAAGAGTTCAAGTTCAAGTTATAATCAAGTTCATTTTTCCAGCCAGTAATAAAGTTACAAAATCGGGAGAAATAAAATTTAAACACAACTAGATGTTGCGTCATTGTTGAAAATTTGTAGGGCGTGGCAAACTAATAGAGAATTTGGAATAAATAGAGCAATGCTTAGAGAAAATATATAAGTGGCACAAACTATTTGCTGTAATATGAAATACACTTAGATAAGGGTGGATTGTTGGAGATTAGACAGTTTGATAGCAAGATTAATAATGCTGCCATACTATAAAAGCATTATCAGGTCAATCTCTATTTTAAAATAATGCATTTTTTGACAAACTCAACCGAGTATGTTAAAAATACTCGATATTGGGAAGATCAGGTTTTCTTATATTCGTACTGGAGAGAGAAATGTGAGCAACAGTGGGTAGGGGTTATGTGAACATATGTATGTATACATGAATATGGCACATTTAACTGGTTATATTCAGTTTAGTTTTGTTTTTTTGTCAACAAAGTTTTCCATTTGTGCAACATTCACGTCCTTAGCACATGTATCCTAAATACTTCAACTACGTTATTCTGAAATGATTTTGGTGAAAGTTGGCGTAGTTTGAAAACTTGAAAGAAATTTCATATATATTTCGATGAAAGAAAAATTCTATGAATTCTATGAAAATTCATAGAATTTTTCTTTCATCGAAATATATATGAAATTTCTTTCAAGTTTTAAACTACGCCAACTTTCATAGAATTCATAGAATTTTTCTTTCATCGAAATATATATGAAATTTCTTTCAAGTTTTCAAACTACGCCAACTTTCACCAAAATCATTTCAGAATAACTATAAAGTTGAAGTATTTAGGATACATGTGCTAAGGAGGTGAATGTTGCACAAATGGAAAACTTTGTTGACAAAAAAACAAAACTAAACTGAATATTGCTCACATCACCTAACCTATAAAAATAGCAAGATATAAATCAAGCAATAATTGTTAAAACAAGTTTATGCCAAAGTAAGTCGAGGTGAAGCTTCATACCCAATGGACTGATCCAGGGATAAACGGATAACGACTCCGAGCACCATTTTGTGTGTAACCATGGGAATGAAAACAAAAGTCTGTACAGTATCTGAATACAGATATAGCCTGACTTGTGGTTAACAGAATAGAATTTTCATATTTATCCCGCGAGGGAAAGCCGATAAGTCGGCATAATCATATTTTATAAAAAAGTTTTGTTTGTCGCAGTTAGGAATAAGAAAGTATGGATACAAGTGGAGGTATAGTGGTAAGATGCGTTGGTGCCGGAGACGTCTTGAAGTGGTAAAAGACATGATCTAGTGTTATTTGGTAAAAAAAAATTTAATTTGTGAATGAAAACATTCGACATAATAAATGAAGATGGCAATTTTTTGCATGCAATGCAATGAGGAGATAAAATCCATTTTTTATTCGAGAGATGTGTCATTGCTTGATTTTTATAATAAGTAATTTCTTGATGAAAATCTCTATCCATGTGAAAAAATTACCATCGCTGCCTGGAAGTGCATATGTGTGCAAAATTATTTTCGAAAATGAACATTACAAAGACCAAGCAGAGAACTACAATTAGTGATTCTCATATAGAAAAAGTTCGAATCTTGGCTTCGTCCAGCGCGACACCTGATGTACAAAAGATTCAAGTGTAATGCAACAACAGGTGTCAAATTGTCTAACAAAAGAACATATTCCAAATCTCTTTATTTTTATTTTACCATTTTTTTCATTACCTTTACTTTTTGCCGCCTTCTGTCTCTCTTGAGCTGGTGATGGACTGCCACCCTTGCTGCATTCCACCGCACTTGGTTTGGGAGAAATTTTTTCAGAGATTTGAGAAGGATCTGTAACAATAATATTTACATGTTGCGTTATCGTATTACTGCTCACATGAAATCAAGGGAAATGAACGAAATGAATGTAGCAGTATTGCTTTTCATATATTAGCACTTGACGAGAGCAATGTAACACATGATATTGCCATTGTACGGTGGTTCACAAAAACACGGGACACTGGATAATATTATGTGACTAATCAAGTAAAACTGAGGTGAATGAATGACTGTAGGCTAGAAGAAATATTGCTTTCCAAGCAGAATAGCATCTGAAACAAATACTAGTTAAAATTTCCCATACCCGACATGGACTCATTACCGGACGAGAAGCCAAGGTCGACATTATGACTGTACTGCCTTATAAGATACCTTTTTTCTCCCCTGAGAAAAATTTGAAAATCACCAATCGTGTGATGAATTATCTGTAAGACGCGCGATACCAAAACTAGATGTTGAGAGATGGTCGAATATTTTTAGGGCATGGTAAACTAATAGAGCATTTGTAATGGAGAAATGTGTAGAAAAAAACTATTTAGTAAGAAATACACATAGATCAGGCAGGATTGGGGGAGATTAGACAGTTCGGTAGCAGGCTGAATTTTTCAACATTTTTTCGAATCTCTTCTTCGAACAAGGAGTTAGACAAATAGTTTTATGAAATATTACCATGCTCTTGGAGGACTAGAATTTTCCCCATGAAGATTATTAAGTCATAGATGAAAGGACCATTTGAACCGGATATCCTTAACATGCATTGCTAACATAGTTTGATACAAAACTCAAATCATCAAGTCATTTCTCCAAATCCACAACCAGCATTACCTGGATCAACTCCAGTCTTTTTACTCTCAGCTCCCTGTTCAACCGAACGTCCACTCTGACCACTGCCTGATGTGCCGGGATTATCCGAGCCTGCAACAACAGAAATATGGCTGCCATACTATGAAAGCATTAGGAGACTATTGCTCTTATTTATTTCAAAACTTTCTATGAGCTCTAGGGAATTTGGAACCATTTGGAAAATAAATATTCAAGTTATAGCTCAACATAAGGCCGTTTTGTGCAAAATTAGGCAATGTCACGGCATTTAATAAATTAACTAATGAATTATCGAATATATTCCACAGCAACAGAAATATGGCTGCCATACTATAAAAGCATTATCAGGTCAATCTCAATTTTAAAATAATGCATTTTTTGACAAACTCAAACCGAGTATGATAAAAATACTCGATATTGGGAAGATCAGGTTTTCTGATATTCGTACTGGAGAGAGAAATGTGAGCAACAGTGGGTAGGGGTTATGTAAACATATGTATGTATACATGAATATGGCACATTTAACTGGTTCCCATAGAATTTTTCTTTCTTCCAATATATATGAAATTTCTTTCAAGTTTGAAACTACGCCAACTTTCATCAAAATCATTTCAGAATAACATAGTTGAAGTATTTAGGATACATGTGCTAAGGAGGTGAATGTTGCACAAATGAAAAACTTTGTTGACAAAAAAACAAAACTAAATCATAGAACGTTTGTAATGGATAAATGTGTAGAAAAAACTATTTAGTAAGAAATACACTTAGATCAGGCGGGATTGGGGGAGATTAGACAGTTCGGTAGCAGGCTGAATTTTTCAACATCTTTTCGAATCTCTTTTTGGAACAAGGAGTTAGACAAATAGTTTTATGAGATATTACCATGCTCTTGGAGGACTAGAATTTTCCCCATCAAGATTATTACGTCATAGATGAAAGGATCATTTGAACCGGATATCCTTAACATGCATTGCTAACATAGTTTGATAAAAAACTCAAATCATCAAGTCATTTCACTAAATCCACAACCAGCATTACCTGGATCATCTCCAGTCTCTTTACTCTCAGCTCCCTGTTCAACCGAACGTCCACTCTGACCACTGCCTGATGTGCCGGGAATATTCGAGCCTGAAGCAACAGAAATATCACAATTTTAATCAAGCTTTTTCTTTTTCGTTGGGTTTTTCATATTAATCCATCTGCAGTTGATCGACGACTCAAACGAAATGAGGTTACATTTCAATGACAAAGTCGTCGGTAACTCGGCAACAGGCTCTTTCTGCTCAAAATACTGGGAAAGATCTCAGCGTCATATGCTTTTCGAGAGAAAAAACTCCAATAATCCTATTATATTGTGCCAGGTTAGATGGCACCAAGAGTTCAATTTCAAGTTATAATCAAGGTCATTTTTCCAGCCAGTAATAAAGTTACAAAATTAGGAGAAATATATTTCAAACACAATTTTAAGTGAAGACGCCGAGAGCTATTTTTTCTTGTACCTGCTGCGGAACTAGATGTTGCGTCATGGTTGAAAATTTGTAGGGCGTGGCAAACTAATAGAGAATTTGGAATAAGCTTAGAGAAAATATATAGGTGGCACAAATTACTTTCTGTACATAGTTCAAATCTCGTTGTTATAATTGTAGCATTTCTTCTATTATTACCTTCGCTTTTTGCAACCTCCTCTCTCTCTCTAGCTGATGATGGATTGCCATTGTTGCTACTTTCCACTGCACTTTGTTCAGAAGAACTTTTGTTCAATATTTGAGAAGGATCTGTAACAAGGAGGCTTAGATAATATTTAATTAAGTCACTGATCACAAAATACTTGGATAAAGAAACATAGGGTAAAAAAAGTATTGCTTTTCAAGCAATTAAGTACCCGAAACAAAAACTAGTTAAAAAGTACGACATGAACTCTTGACCGACATGAACTACTTGTTCGTCCTTGTTTGGAGTGAAGGTATGAAAACACCTATAAATCATCTTATCTGTTGTCCTAATGTTGGCTCCACCGGCAATTAAAAACTAATCCGAGTTTTGTCAGTTCATGAGATGTTGCTGTTTCATTTTAAAGAGACAAACTGACAGAATGTCAGAATATCATAATTACTCCATGATGAGGAAAGCCTAACATGTGAAGGTGGAGATTGAGTCATGATTGTGACCAATTCTGTGCCTAATATTTGGGGGGGACCCAAACTTTAAATATTGCTCATGTCTTCCGCTACCTTTACTTTTCGCTCCCTCCGGACTCTGCCTTCCAGGTGATTGATTACCCCCTTTGCCTCTTTTCACTGAGCTTGGTTTGGAAAAACTTTTTGCTGAGATTTGGGAAGGATCTGTAACAAGTATAGATGGGTAATATTAATGTGACTGAACAAGTAAAACTGGGGTTAAGAAACAAAGGGCAGAAAAAGTATCGCTTTCTAGCAGTCGAGTATCTGAAACAAATGCTAGTTAATAACTCCTATACGTCAGGTGAACTCATAACTGGATAAGGATCCATGGCTTGATTTATGCTTGAACCACCTTTTTAACTTTTTTCACCCCTGAGATAAATTCAACAATGTTTTAATGCTATAATTCCAAACGCTTAGCACGATGAAATTTCTCTCCAATATTTTGTCACTATGATTAAATCCAATTTTTCTAATAATTTTGTTCGCTAGCCAGAAGTCGCTGTTTTATTCTCAAGAGACAAGATGAATACCATATAAGTTTTCATATAACAGAATCAGAATCTCACATCCATACCAGTAAGAATGAAGCCTAAAAGAAGAATATAGACCATGTCTCTTTATTTTTATATTACCATTTCTTTCATTACCTTCACTTTTTGCCACTTCCTGTCTCTTTCTAGCTGCTGATGGACTGCCACCCTTGCTGCTTTCTACTGCATTTGGTTCGGAAGAACTTTTTCCTGAGATTTGAGAAGGATCTGTGAAAAGAATATTCATATGTTGTGTGATCGCTTTACTGCTCACATAAAATCAAGGGAAATGAACAAAGAAAAAGCAACATTATTGCTTTACATACATTAGCACTTGAAGCGAGCAATATAACACATGAGAATCCATTGCATGGTGGTTTTCACTAACAGCATTCATTTAGAAGTATTACATATTTAAGCCCTATTTCGAATTACTTAACGTAAGTTTATTTTTTACAGACTTTGAGAAACTGTTTTTCTTTACTATACCCGAAACTAGATGATGCGGCATGGTTGAAATTTTGTAAAACGCGATAAACTAATAGAGAATTTGGAATAATAAGAGAAATGCAACAAATCCACAAACAGCATTACCTTGATCAATTCCAGACTTTTTACTTTCAGCTCCCTGTTCAACAGAACGTCCACTCTGATCATTGCCTGATGTGCTGGGAATATCCGAGCCTGTAACAACAGAAACATGGCTGCCATACTATAAAAGTATTATGAAGTAAAACTCAATTTACAAATAACGCATTTTTGACAAACTCAAATCGAATATTTTGAAAATACTTGGTAAGCCCTCCAACCCTACTGCAATTCTATATAGGCTTGCCTCACTGATAATTAAGTCTATTCAACAAATAGTTTTGTCTGTTTGTAGATGTCGGTGTTTTATTTTTAGGAGACGAACCAAATGATATATATATTTTCACATGACAGAATTTTACATCTATAGTCCAAATAAAATCAGACTCAGATTCAGATTCAGATATTTATTCGTCATGCAATCTATTTTAATTTCATCATTTTATTCATTACCTTTACTTTTTGCCACCTTCCGTCTCTCTTGAGCTGGTGATGGACTGCCGCCCTTGCTGCTGCTTTCCACTGCGTTCGGTTTGGAAGAACTTTTTTCCGAGATTTGAAGAGAATCTGTGACAAGAATATTTACAAGTTGCGTTATCGCTTTACTGTTCACATGAAATTATTGGAAATGAACAAAGTAAAAGTAGTAGTATTGCTTTATATACATTAGCAATTGACAAGTGCAATATAACACAACAGATTGCTATTGCATGGTGTTTCCCACTAACAGCCTTTATTTAGGAGTCTTACATTGTTATTGAAAACTAATTAAGGTTTAGTCTGCTCGTCAAATGTTGCTGTTTCATTTTCAAGAGACAAACTGACAGAATGCCAGATTATCATAATTACCTCACGGTGAGTAAACCTAACAGATGGAGGTGGAGATTGAGCCATGATTGTGACCAATATTGTGCTTAAAATATTTGTAAAAAGCCCAACTTTAGATTTTGCTCATTTATTTTGTTACCTTCATTTTTCGCCCCTTCCGATTTCTGTTTTCCAGGTGATAGGTTATCACCTTTTCCGATTTCCACTGCGCTTGGTTTGGATGAAATTTTCGCCGAGATTTGAGAAGGATCTGTAACAAGTAAAGATGGAAAATATTTGTGTAACTTATCATGTAAAAGACGTTGATAAATAAACGTAGAGTAGAGCTAGAGTTGCTTTTCAAGCAGTAGAGTATCTGAAACAATTACAAAAATTCCTATACCTGACATGATCTCATGACCAAAGGAGGAACATACATATATTAATTCATGAATAAAAGCAGCAACTCGCATATCAGTGGGTATTTGCCTGTTCACCAGATTCGCTATTTTATTGTTTATTTTTAAGACACATAAGCCAAATGATCCAAAATTGTTCACATGACAGAATTTCTATTTCAGAGAGAATAAAGCCAAACAGAAGAACATAGTCCAAGTCCGTTTTATTTTACCATTTCTTTTTTTGGAATAATTTGGAATAATAGTACAATTCTTGGAGAAAATATATAAAGGACACAATCTATTTTCCCTATCACGATTATAACGTCATAGATGAGATGGTCATCTGAACCTGATATCTTGGAATGTCCAAGCCTGCAACAACAGAAATATGGCCACCAAACCATAAAAAAGCATTATGAAGTCAATCTCAAATTTGAAATAATGGATTTTTTCACCAACCCAGATTGAGTAGGATTAAAATACTTGGTATTGGGGAGCATTGCTTAAAGTGTGTGACCAATTTTTTAATTTATAATCAGGGGAAACACAAACTTTGAAACTTGCTCAAATCTTTGGTTACCTTGAATTTTCTCCTCCTCTCCCTCTCTCCTGCTTGCAGGTAATAATGGGCTACCACCTTTGCTGCTTTCCACTGCACTTGGTTTGGAAGATCTTTTTTCCGAGATTTGAGAAGGATCTGTAACAAGTAAAAATGTATAATGTTTATGTGACTGTTCAAGTAAAACTGGGTTAAGGAAAGGTGGGGTAGAAAAATTATTGCATTTAAAGCAGTAGAAAACCTGAAATATTTACTAGTTAACAATTCTCATACCAACATGACTAATGACATGACAAGGAGACACTCTCTCCATCTTCTTCAGATTGTGCAAGTAAAATTACATTTGTATGATGCTGCAAGGTTGATAAATAAAACACTCTTAACAAGCACTCACTAATATGTAACTTGCAACACCTAGGAGTCAGAGTACAGTAAGGCATAGGAATTGTGCTGTCAAGGAAATATGTGGTTTAAGGAACTCCAATCTGATCATAATCCTATTATATTGTGTCAGGTTGGATGGAACCAAGACAGCAGAGATAACTTTGATGGATTATCAGATGTGAATTCACAAAGGTGTAGAACAGGGGTGGGCAAGATTTTTTGCTCAGAGGCCAAACATTTTGCTCGCCTAGACTGGCGGGCCATGAAAGTGTGACGTTAAATGTTACATTTCATAAACAATAATTACAGTGTTACAAAAGCAAAAGTGGAAAACAATACGCCTCGCTCCAAAACTAAATTTAATCTCAATCTCAAAAAAATTGCATGAGGTATTTTATTTTTTAGCTAAAACATCAAAGTTTTAGTTGGGCTGCAGCAGCATCAGGCGAGTCAGATTAAATTACTCAACGAGTCGGATTTGGCTCGCGGGTGCCTAGTTTGCCCATGTTAGGTATAGATTATACCCATTCGTATAATTGCCCTGAATCTTGTTTGTTTTATATTTATTACAAATATTACATCAAATTCACTTAAAACACACAGAACGTGTATTATCCTGTTATTGCCCCACCAGTGTTTTTTCTTCTGTTAACATGAGTTAGATCAGTAAGACGGGTTCGTTACTTAATCTATTCAAGCTTAGCATTATTAGATAAACAGAATCTGACAATCAGATTAGGAAAATAGTGGTTGTCTTCTTCCTCAAAAACGTAACAGTATCTGCTTAGTAATCAAACAGTATAACAGGGACGGGATACATGTTCAAGACCTTACTTGGAATGTGAGACATGCACCCCTGCCATAACAGCAGAAACGCGACGCCTGTGCTGAGTGATTTTACTGGTGATCGCCTGGTGCCTACTTGCCTTCGAATCCAAGATCAAAATTCTTTGTTGTAATCTCACCCAGGAAAGTAGAGTGTAATAGATATGATAATTTCTAGTTAATTTGCCTGACTTTGGTAATATGAGATTATTTTCAGCAATAAATTGACCATTTATTGTCCAAACGATTCCAAATTCGCTCAGTAAAACATTCATGTGAAAGTCTACTAGACATGTTTACTTTTGAAACAAGAGAGCAATGCTCAAATATATGGACACGCAGAACAATTCTTCAAAAAATCATATTCGGTGACTTACCAGTACCTGTATAAACAACGCACCACATCACAGGAATCAAACAGACAAAAACACGGTGGTCGCAAATTGGTTGACAAAGATATTATCGACGTATTGGAAATGCGCACCCCCCTATTCTCCCTCATTTGAATGTAAAAACGCCAAACCTATAAAGATGGTTAAAAGAAACACAACTCTACCCACCTGCCAAAGTTCATCTTTTTATCTCTTATATTTCTGTATTTGTAGGATTTTCAAGCTTTTGACAGCTACGAGTTAGTTCAGTGTCACCGCGCTACCAGAACTTCTCTATCTTTAAAAACATTGGGCTTCTAATTGCATTTCTGACCGTCATATATTTTAAGAACACGGTTATTTCAAACAAAACTCGTCAAATTATAAACAAAGCACCACATCACAGCAATCAAACGGACGAAAACACAACAAATACTAACATAACACAGTATCAGCATTTGCAAAGTTATACCTGTATGATTTAAATATTTATTCAGTTCAAAATTTTGTCAGGAAGGATACCGGTACCGGTAGGTATGCCAATTTTAGTTTTTGTCCGAAGTAGGCAAATCTGGTGAATGAAATTCATTTCACTACGGTACCGCTACTAGGCATTCTGACATTTGATATATTCTAGTGTTCGGATACCGGTACAAATTTTGGCTTTCGTCCGAAGTAGCCAAATCTGGTAAAGAAAATTCATTTCACTACCGGTACCAGGCATTCTGACATTTAATATATTCCAGTGTTCGGATACCGATAAATATTGGTTTTCGTCCGAAGTAGCCAAATCTGGTAAAGGAAATTCATTTCACTACCCGTACCAGGCATTCTGACATTTGATATATTCCAGTGTTCGGATACCGATAAATATTGGTTTTCGTCCGAAGTAGCCAAATCTGGTAAAGGAAATTCATTTCACTACCCGTACCAGGCATTCTGACATTTGATATATTCCAGTGTTCGGTACTTACCGGTACCGGAACCGGGTAACAGCGTATGGTACCGGTACCGGTGTTAGAACTGAGACAACGCAGTTACCGGTACCGGTACGGTATTGGGACTAAAATCTTTTACATGTTTCCTGTTCATAATACAATAACTGAATACCCGTATTGTATATAAGTATAAGTATAAGTTTATTTCGACTCCATAATCAGCAATAGACGATAAAAAAAATAGATAAAAACAAAAGTAAAAGTAACTGCCTGATTATAGAATCGGGAAAGCGAACAAAACCTAGAGTAAGGTTTGAAACGTACAGATTTTAGATGGAAAGGTATTGATAAAAGAAGTAGTACGTGTTCGCTCACCTAGTTATGGTCTACATACCGGTACTGGTCTACAAGACATACCACAGTGGCACAGTCTACAAATCCTACTGACACCAAGCAAGCAGTCTATGATTTCGAAAAACAAATACCGGTAGCGAAGAGCGAAGCAGTATATACCTTTGACGCCACCGGTACCCACAAAAAATTCCGAGTTTCGCGTAGAAATAATTTACCGGGTCAAACCGGACAGCTAGTGTTCCCATGGATAAAATAATACAGCAAAATTTCAGACGAAATATCAAATTTCATGCGTAATTTAGAAATAAATAAAAGTAATAGCCTTCTGGCAATAAACTCAATATTCACTCACTGAAAATTTCAAAGCAATTGGTCCAGTATTCGAAGAGAAAAGCGATTTTTTTAAAAATGATGGGAACAAATAATGAAAATGACAATAAAAAATTTTGAAACGATCGTTATGTCCACTACACCACTGTGAAACTAGCAGCTCCTTCAGCCAGAATATTTTTACAAATTGAATATAGGTTCCACGCGCATATAATGTTCACTTATAGTTACATATGAAAATGAAAATGCTGATCAAAATATAATTTTTGCACGAAAATACATGAAAAATCTTTAAACTGAATAAATACATTGAATTTAAAAAGAAAATAGTGTTTAAAAAAAGACTAACTAAGCGAAAAATAAATTTTCAGGTATTCCGCAAATACGAAGTTTCTGAAAATTATCCTTTTCGGAACCTCGATTCCTCGAAAACCGCCAATAAAGGCAGCACCACGACACATTTGGAAAAAAACAGATACCCTATAAATTCGATTTTTCTATAACGGAACAGTAGCAGCACGTTTTGGCTTGACCATATATATTACCAAACATATCGTGTAATCTAAATTTTACAACGGCATGGACGTAAGAATTTAAAATTGATTTTGTATTTCAACTAAATTTGCTAGATAATTAATCAAATATCATTTTCTCTTTGTCACACATTAATACTGTACATCTATTAAACTTGGAATACGTCGCGGGAAGTATAAAACAGCAAAAAAACATTTGCGACTTCCAGTGGATTCTGTCCTGGATTACAAAAAATAATCGTTTTTAAAATGGCGATTTTTCGAAAACCGCCAATAAAGGCAGCACTACGACATATTAGGATAAAAGCACATACATTATAGATTCGATTTTATTATGCCAGAACAGTAGCAGCACGTTTTGACTTGGCCATATATAATACCAAACATAGCGTATATTCCTCGATTTTTTAAACAACGGTACGTAACATATTAAAAAAGGGTTTGTATTTCAACTAAAGTTGGATAAAGCAGGATAATTGATCAAATATCTTTTTCTCTTTGTCGCACATCAATACTGTACGTCAATTAAACTTCAATGAAACTTAAAAGTTTCAGAAAGTATAAAGTAAAAATAAAAAAAAATTTGCGCACCTTCGTGAATTAGTTTGAGAATTTCGAAAATTATCGCTTTTGGAGTGGTGATTTCTCAAAAACCGCCAATAAGGGCAGCATCACGACACATTCAGAGAAAAGCACATACCTTATAGATTCAATTTTATAACAAATATATAATAACAATAATAACATATAGCGCATATTCTCAATTATTTAAATAGCGTAGATGTTCAAATATTCTAAAAGAGTTCGGTATTTCAAATAAATTCACCTATTCCATTTTCTTCACCTATTTCCATTTTTAAATACCGATACTGTGTGTTAATTATATTTAGAATAAGTTGCAAATGGTATAAAACAATGAAAAAATGTCTTACGCACTATACGCTTTTAGAGTGACGATTTCTTGAAAACCGCCAATAAAGGCAGCATTACCACACTTTCAGATAATCGAAGATACATTAAAGATTCGATTCCACTACACCAGAACAGTAGCAGCACGATTTGATTTGGTCTTATATAACATCCAACTTAGAGTATATTCTTCAATTTTTGAATAATGCTAAGGTTAAAACTTCCTAAAGCTGTCGTATTTTAAACGAATTTACTGAATACTTGTTCAAATATAATTTTTTCTCAGTCACACATCCATACTGGACAAGGCAAAAAATATATTTGATCAATTATCCAGCAAATTAAGTTGAAATACAAACTTTTTAAATTCGTTACGTACATTTTGATGTAAAATTTTAAAAACACGCTATGTTTGGTAATATATATGACCCAGTCAAAACGTGCTGTTACTGTTCTGGTATAGTAAAGTCGAATATGTAAGTTATATGATTTTC